TTTGAAACTAATCAAATATCATAATGGCATGTGTTATTAAGATAGTTGATTTTGTCCATTAACTGTTGGCAGTAATTGTAGACATGTATCATGACATCCATGTGATATCATACATAATATCTGGCAGTTAAAGTTAGTTTGGTTAGCTGCTAATAGAGTTGCCGAGTGTCTGAAAAGTATGGAAGAAAAGAATGTTCTGGACTCTGAAGGCGTCTCCAGTTGGCGCCATAAATAACTGAGGATGGTTGTATCATAGTTAAATTGTCCGGAGAGGAAGATCAGTCTGGAGGCTCGGGTAGCATGTCTACAAAATTTTCTTAAATTTTTTAAATTTGTTCTGTAGATATATTTACTTTGGGCTTAGTGGTACATTTTTTTAAAGATATATTTTCTGTTATGCTTTGCTTCAGGGGTGGTGAATCTTTTTTCAGTCTGTGTGTTTGCAAAACAAGCATATTTAACTTTTAATAAATTTTATGCACTAAAACTTTGCAGTTGTACAATCTAAGTGTACTTATAGTAAACTAAATTAAATTTAAATGAGCATTTATTTATTGTAACATTGTCACAATGCTGGGCTGCAATTTTTAATCATATTTTTAATTTATTTAATTTAAAATATATGCTCTCCATCTCAAATTAGTACAATAGTGTTTTGCCCCTGTTCATCATACTTTTCCTTTAACAATAGAGCCGTGCTAGTCATCTATTAACTGCTTTCAGGGGAAAGTTTTGAATTGAAATAACCTGACTTCTGGTTTGCATTAGAAGTTCTTATATAGTTCATCGGAATCTCCTGCTCCTAAGGTTTTCATATCTAGTCTTGGATTTCATCTTAGATGCATTAATAGTTTAATTGGACTTTTAATTTTAAATATCAAAATATAATTATTATATTATGCTAATTACAATCATAATATTTTGTGTAATAATCACCCAAGTACATATTTTTCTTGTAATATTTTCCCACCAAAAATGAAAAAAATCTCCCAGTAAGTAATTATTACAGGAAATATGGTAAATTGATTAAATTTTAAAAGAAACAGGGGGGAAAAACACTAAAATATTTTTTCTTTATTTTTTGCTGGAAAGTTATTTTATTTTGGAATTTTGTCCTTATTTCTAACTGCTGCTTCAGTGAGTGGATGGTATGTTAAAGTTGGATGGTTTCAACAGATAGCAGGTTAAGATAAGAGATAATTATCTTCAAATTCTACATTTAGATTATACAGACTGTTAGAAAACAAAGATGCTTTTTGATACAAATACATACTGGTGATTAGTTTGGTGACAAGATAAAAGATGGCTCTTGTTTTAAGTGCTTGATAAATGTGTGAATATTGACAGTCCTTATCTCTTTCTCGTTAAACCCAAACCATACATTATGAAATGCTAGAATCTCACAAATGTTAGTGTTTGCTAATTCTTATTTTACAAAAAGTGGAATTATTTCTCAGTAGACTATTATTTATGTAATATATTTAGTTTATATGAAAATAACCCGTTAAAGAAAAAGAATTCAAATTATAACATTAATTAGGCGAGGAAACTTTCACTATTGTAAAATATGATGATACATTTTGTATAAAATTATTAATGTATCTGTTGTTAAATTCTCTACAGATCTTTTTTTTTATAACTTTGACAGCATTAATAAGAATGCTGTCAACAAAATAATTTTTGGGAGACTGCAGCTTAGGGAAAAACTGAAAATTGCTTTCAAAACTGGTTTTGAACAGTTTCATTATTAATTTTGATATCAGTTTTTTCATTTTTTTATTTCTGTACAAAAGTACGAAAATTTCAGTTTATGAACACTGTTGAAGTTGATAATTCTTTACAATGTACAGTACAGTAAAACATCTGTAAAATGGCCATCTCAAAATCATCATCAAAATCTTATCATCTCAAGGGTGATACTGTTAAAGGGAGTGATGAAAATATATGGATACAGAGTACTATGTTCAATAGTAATATATAGTACTGCATAGTGTACAGAATACAGCAAAAACTATTTTAAAAATGTTATATATTGATTAACATCATACACCGCAAGTTATTCTGCATACTGTACAAGAAAATGTAATGCACTGTACAAACAATCTTAAATGTCTAAAGTAATCTGAAAAAGACATTTGCTTTCTCTATCTTAACTTTCTGAGATGATGATGCCTTTGATATTTCTTTTCTATTTGGTAAAACAGATCCTCCTTTCAGATAAAACAAATTCCAAAAATTATCCAAATCTCACTCAAATTCTTCATCGTTGATTACTATTTTATTTATCCCTGTTAATGGAAAGATTAAATTCATTTGTTTTTGTTATATTATTTAGTTTAATAAGAATAAACAGAACATAAAAATGAAACATAATATCCTCAATAAGAGAAAATTATGTATATTTTTATACCTAACGCAACAGTGCAATATGCCCAACACTATACACTGTATGTGCCTACAGTTTGTTTTGTCGTTCAATCCCGAATGACAAAACTGCCATCTTAGAGGTGTTTCACATAAATGAATCATGAGTGGTCATTGCTTGGGTAAAGGAGTGTTATAATTTCATGTGTGCTGGTTAGGATACAAATCCAATTTAAAATTTGAATTTTTGATTCAAAACAGATTGTTTCCAATCTTCGGAAATGCACGTTTAAAAAATATGATTATTTTTCATATCATCCGATGTTATCAATCGGAAGAGCAGAGAGAATCTTTATTAGTGTTCCATGTAAAATTTCCCAGGTATACTGTTATCGGATGATCGAACATCATCGCATTTTCAACTATTTTTCGTAATAGTTTTCTAGAAATGTGGATCGATGACGCCCATCAGTCTGTAGTGAAACGACTATAATGCACGACGGTTGAAATGTGCTAATAGTAATTGTCTGCCGATATAACGAGTTAACAAGGGTAATAAAAATCCCGTATAAACTTGGAGGATATTGAAATTAACACGTCTTATATTTTGATACAGAAACACGTAATTCACCTCGATAAATCCTATAAAAAGGACATTGCTTCACCACAAATTTTCATCCGTTTACCATTTGAAAAACACTGAACACTGAATCACTGAAAAACAAATGATATTAACCCATGTAATTTAATTGATCTTCGTTAAACTAAACACTGTTTTTGAATTCTTTTGTGTGTTATACTGTTTATTTGCCGTACTAACTTATACTTGCGAGTAAATACACGAGTGTATTATTCATTATAGCCTACGTTCGTATTTAAAAATTTTATTTTTTAGTATTTGTAAAGCGAAATCGATTATGCCAGGTCGCACTCTTTTAACATTGTAAAAGGAAGGTTGGAATGCCCTTGCCACCATCGTTTTCGATTAGCGATGCGTATCGTACGACAAATTCGGAATTGGCAATCGTCCACGCATCTTTTATCTGTTTGGAAGCAACCGGACGTCTTCTCTAAACCATTATCGATTTTCCACGATTATCAGTATTATATATAGCTTATACAAGCCGATTACTTACAAACTTTTCTTTTCATTGATCAAATTACTTTCTACTTTCGTCGCAGCGACGGAATTTAAAAAAAAAATCCTGTCGTAAATCGTTGTCAAGGGGAATTTATGTTAATTTTATTTGTATATTCTAAATAATAGAGACGTTGCGGCCGAAGTTTTCAACGCGAAGACGTGTACGTCGGACGTTTAGCGCCGCTTTCCTGTAAGCCTAGAAGTTTGACAATGACGTTTGGAACGTCAGTGGAATCATGCCCGGCGTTCCAAACGTCATTGTTAAACTTCTAGACTTACAGGAAGGCGGCGCTAAACGTCCGACGTACACGTTTCGCGTTGAAAACGTCGGCCGCAACTTCTCTAATTGCTCGAATTGCTTTTTATAGTGTTATGATTTTGCGATGATACGAAATATGTTTGGATTTTTCATTTAGACCGATGAATTAAAACTATTTCTAGAAAATCTGTTTTAATTGTATTATTGATTCGCAGTGCCTGTTAATGCAGTCAACGTTCGGACGAGCTCCGTTTTAATTTATAATCTCTAATACTGTATTTATTATGCGAAGAATCGTGCAGAATTAATCGTACTGCGATTATTGGAATTAAAAAAAAAAGAACAAGTCTTCGGAAATCAAATTATAAACTAAGATTTAAAGATAACGGTATCGAAGGAATCGCGACTGCCTCTTCTCTTTGCTCGGATTATTCTATTCTGCCCGTTCTCCCATTTTGTCATTTGTCGCTTTTAAGTCCATTTCTCACCTTCTTTAACCCGTTCTTGCTCACTTTATAACGATCGGGGCAGTAAATATTTTTTTTTATTCCTTCTAAAGTTAGAAGAATTAATGGCTTTCCTTTCCGTCCGTCGACCTCTAGTGCCAATCGATCGGGAAAATCATTTTTAGGTTTTATTTCTGATTTTTTTTATCTTTAAATCCATTAATAATTAGTTACGCTGTTTAAATCTTGAAGCGTCTTTAAATTATAATATAGTATTTAGATTGTTTTTCTTTGTTAAATATATTTTCACAAGAAAACAACCGTATTGAATCGTATTCGTCGCCACTCGGACGCGGTAATTTACCATTTCAATACGATATTTGAAAATTAAAGAAGATTTTATGTATATAAATTCCCAAAACGAAACTCTACGGGGGACGAAATTCTATCGAAAATAACCGCATCCGTTGTTCTACCGCATCATCCGGAAGTCACGTTTCTGTCCTATTCATTTCCGCCGACTGCTTTATTCCCTTTGGCACAGAACTAATCGATTTTCCGAGGGGGAAAATCGAATCCGAAGTCTTTTATTATAGAACTGTAAAATTTAAAATGGAAATAAAATTTAATCCATTATCATTGGATGTCGTTGCTCTGTATCTTTAATAATTAATCTAAATGTCGTGGACGGAATTGATCGAAAGCTATTGCTTTAGTTTTTTTCTTTTTTATATACTAGATACCGTATTTTTCAGTAAAATCGAGTGATTATTTTTATTTTTATTTTTAGGGGAAGATTTATATGTACGACAAAGTATTCAAGCCCAACGCCACTCAGGAGAAAGTCTACACTGAAGCCACCAAGGCCATAGTCAAAGGTGAGTGTTTTTCGTTTTCCCTCCTCGACCACGCCTCTCCGTCGGTCGGGCGCCGTTCCCATCGATTTAAAACATAACCTTTCGTCCTTACCGCAATGCAAGGAACATTATTTATCCGAAATTTTCCTACTCACCTAACTTCCGGTTTCGCCACGTTTTGATCTCATCTAAGCCGGAAGTCTTACGTTTTATGGGTCACCGGCGCGATACCCCGTTTACATTTAATCGTGTAACGTCACTTCCTTGGATTACGTCTAATTTATAACTTCCGGTTTTCAAATTTTCGAATAGTAATGAGGCACGTGTGATTGATTACCGTAAACAAAGCGTGATCTAATGTATTACGTCGTCGTACGTTTGCACTCCGTCGTTCTATTTTTAAATTCTGGAAGAAATCGTTTGCTGCCAGAAAAAAAAATTAAAATCGATCCTTTCGATAATTTTTCTCGGTTCGGAAATGGCTTTTATTACGTACTCCTAATTGATTGCCACCCCCGTGGTGATGGGGAATTGCAAAAATATGTAGAAATCTTTTTGTTTTTTTGCTAAATTTAATTTCGAATTGCGTGTTTAAAGGCGAGGTTATAAATTGCCACGTTGGATATAAATACTTTAATGATTGGAAAAAAGCATAATTAGAGTTATCTCGGAGAACGTATTGATTATATACTTATTTTAAAATATTTTAATGGATTATTTACCTCTAATTAATTTATGTGCGTTTTTTTAATGTTGTATCTGCGAGAATAGGAGAATATATAACTTGTTTTCAGCATGTATTTAATTAAAATTTGTTCAAAATACAGAATAAAAACCTGTAAATTAAGCGTAATAAAGTGAATAATGAATTATCAATAATTAGACAGTAAATAATGCATGAAAATATTTTTAAAAAGTATATAAACAATATTGTGTACGTTTTAGCGAATTAGGAGTTTTTGCACTCATTAAAACAATTAAACAAATTTTAATTCAAACCCCAATGATAAAAGTGAAATCTGATACACATTGTGACGTTTAAGCCTCTTTTTATTTATTATTTTTTTTCCAAAATATACCTGGTGTTTTCTTGTAGCTGCTTATATTATTTTGTGGCAGATATTCACGTAAAATTATTTTTCATACTCAAAGAAGATAAGTCTACTGATATTGTTCATTTATTTCAAGAAAAAACAATTTTGTCAAATACTGTACAGTGGGTGATCGGTTAACGAACCGTTCAGATAGCAAACAAATCAGATAACAAACACTTTCGCAAAAGATTTTTATGATTGGACAACAAACACATGTTCGGATAACGAACACTTTACTGAACAACCATAAAAAGAAGCAATGGAAAATAACGAATACCGATTGATTTTCCCTTGTCTTTAGGTAACAATTCGAAACCTTCTGGAACACGGGAGATGCAACATCGACTCTCAAACCTATACCAATCAGATAGTATAATATTCCTCCGAATTTTGAAACTCTCCCTTGTAATTCCAGCTTTTTGTTTACCTTTCTGACAAATAATTTTTTATAGTCTTTGCGAGACTGTCGGACAGGCACTCGTTAGGTTTGGGTCATGGTTTATTTACTAAAGGTGAAAGTTTAACTGTCCCATCGGATATTCGTTAACATTTTAATACCAAATTTCAAATTTCATCCGGGCCTTGCATTTAAATAATTTTTTGTGGGCTAGTTGATTTCTGTTCTCTGAATTTTTGTAAGTGCTTTTCTGAACTTTTTATTTAAAAAAGAAACTGATAATATTATGGAGCCTAAAAAGAGGAGTGTCAAGAACTGTGCTCACCGTAGAAACCAAGTAAGAGATAATAGCCAAGGTAGAAAGTGGGCACAAGATGTCTGATGTTGCTAGACAGTATGGCTCAAACAGGTCTGCAGTAGACAAATCTTAGCTATGAAAGATATATGAAGAAATCTCAAGCTGCTAATGGAGTAATGAAAATCATATCTGAGAAATAAAGAGCATTTTAGAGCTCGTAATGGAATCTGAAACTGATCTGACGACAGAAGAACTGCAGGGATGTCAGAATAACGATCATCCAAGTGGCATTCAAACCAGAATAAGGTTAATTAAAATGTTTTTTAACCGATCACCCACTGTATGTATATTTAGTTATGCTGAGTTCTATATATTTCAATACCAAATCCGGTCTTATCATTTGATAGTTTTATTGAATGACTAAGAAATTTTTATAATAATTTTTCTCTATACTTGTCTAATAAAATTGTCTAATTGTCTAATAAAATTGAAGACAAAACTGCCCAAAAGGATCACCATTTATTATTTGTGTTCCAAGACTATAAACTTTTTCGGCGACTGACCTTTCTTTGTAGGCTGCTTGTTGCCAGAAAATTACAAAGAGTTTTTTTAAAAAACACAAAACACATTCAATTAAAATTATAAAAATTTCTCATAAAGGAACTGGTGACATACAGTTGTCCTGCTTGCATCCATCTATACCTTCTTTGGGGGTTTAAGACTGCTTTTTATCTACTGGAAACTGGTGCTGGAAAATGTAAATTTTTAAAAAAGCTGACCCCTGGTGATGATACATGTAGAATTTTCTTCTGTAACAATCTTGGTAATCTGACATATATTGGACTGTAAAGTGAATTCAGAGGCACATTAACAGTTACTCCACAGTCAAATTCATTTATGATGTAGCAAAACAAAAGTTGTCCACCAATTTCTCTGCCTACTTTACCAGTAATCATGTTGCCAGATTGGTGGATTCATGCTTAATTTATTGGAAAGTACAGTATTTTTTATGGAAATTTTGGGGAACCATTTTTTATATTTATACAGTATTTTGTTATAAGATACCTTTTTTAAGCAACCTAAAATGATGAACCTAATGAAGTTTAACCTTTCAACGGTGGTCTAGTCAGGTATGGTTCTACTCCCAGTAGTGGAGAATAAATGTGGAAAATTTTTAAAGTATTTTTTCATGCGTTCTTTTCTCATTACTGTTTTAGAAAGAGATTTTGTGAACAGTTATATCTAGTAAAGAAAAGTCTTTTTTTATTGTTATATAATTCATTTTTTATGTGAATTTTTTTTCTCGCGGTAGTTTTTGGCGATACCCCAAAAGAATTTAACGGATATATCTGCCCTTCACCACTACCATACGATCGCCCTGGACGGATATATCCGTCCTTCCCTTCTGAGTAGGTAATATCGTGCTTGAGCTCGAGTATTTAGGCACAGACTCAATATTTGGCCATGTTTAGTAGTTTGTTCAAATTTAGTGGAAACTGCAGCTTGAACAACTTTGCAACAGTGCCAATAATATCCAAATAATATTCATTCAGTGGAGGATTATTGGACACTTAGAATACTAACAAATGGCTGGATTACCGAGATCATACTGTATATTATTGTGTATTTTTTTGGTTTTTTTCTGGAGATGAACAAGAATTCTCAGAAGCAGTTGAGAGTATATTTATAAATTGTAACTATTTTTTTGTAATGCTTATCATTGTTACAGCTAATGATATATATAACTATATAGTGTTTCTACTATTCATATAATTGTAAGAAAAATATATTCTGGAAGCAACTAGATTGTTTTTTAATTGATTTTTCAATAAAACATGCTGTTAGTTGTTTTCAATTAAACTACTAGTTTCTACAATTTGTTGTTATAAATGCACTGTAGACTTCTGATGTATTAGTGTAACACTTGATATTTGAACATTTTTAAGTAAAATTGTTATTTTTTAGAAACAAATTAAATTGTAGGTTAAGAACTTAAGAATTTTGTAATTTGAATTTTAAAATATTTTGAAAATGTTTATGTTTAGAAGCAAGTATTATCTTTAAAATTAACATTATGGAAACAGTTTTTTAAAAAACTTGAATAAAAAGTTGTAAACAGAAAAAGAAATAAAAGATGAAAATTTTTCTATAGAATACATTTTTATGAAACATATTAAAATCTCAGATTGTAAGCATAAGTTTCAAAATTTTAAAGAAAAAGTTTCAGAACAAGTTTTTATAATAAGGAAATATTATACAACTGTACTTGCAAACCTATGAAATATTTATAAAAGATTTTAAAATTTATTGCAAATAGAACATTTTATTATAAATTATAATTGATAATTATACAGTAGAGCCTCGATTATCCGACCCCCGATTAACCGACCGTCCTAGTCGGCAAATTTCAAATATCCGCTAGTGATGTGGTGCTACAATATTTGGCTATGTCTTGGCCAAATATTTAATATTATTTTTACGTGTTTTAGCTGGCAACACTCATGCGACCATGAAAGAGAGCCAGTATTTAAACGAGGCTTAATTTTCTAATTTTTAACGATACAATAGCGACGATTATTATTTTAAAAAATTTTTGTTAGGCTTAACATCGATGAAAATTCAACGCGAAGTAGGTTAATAGCGATATACTAATATACTAATTACATGGGATATAATAATATACTACACTAATAATGGATTTTTTCATACTTTTCGGTTATCCGACTTTTCAATTATTCGACCAACCCCAGTCCCCAATTGAGTCGGATAATCGAGGCTCTATTGTATAAACATTTTAAAAAAATCATTTAAATTTATTTTTTTAATATACTGTATTTACTAATGTATAAGACAAGGTTTTTATTCATTTTTCACTGCTTCAAAAACCTAGGTCATTCTATATGCAAGAGCGAAAGATTCTTTGCATTTTTGCAATAATTCTTGAGCACGGTGTATTTGCATTTTTTACTGGATGCTCGCCCTCTGGTGTATAAAAGCAAAACAATTTTATTTGGGTCATTTGATTTGTTTTTGTTTATTGTCAGGAGTAAAGCAATAGGAAAACCATAGCTTTTGAATTGAATTCCGAATTGAAATTCCAAAATCATACGGGAGCCTGCTATAAGTTTTAATCCATTCCCAAATGAAAACAGATGACTATTTGGAAATCAGAATTTGGAGAAACGCATAAGTGTGGATTTGACTGTTAAGAATTGGCAAAAATGGTTCCCTA